GTAACAAATGCATGGACTAGTTTCTCAGCATCACCCCTGGACAGGAGATTCCTAATTTTTGCAAATCAATCTATCACTCTGTTTAATGGCGGGGGTTCTTTTTTTGAATCTGTCGGGTTTTAGACAAGGCGACAAGTCGGACAGCACCTTCATCGTCCTCAGTGGTCGATTGCGCTCTGTCATTGCAAAGGAAAATGGCAAGAAGGAGTTGGCTGGAGAGTACGGCCGCGGGGACCTGATCGGGGAGGTGAGCGGTGACAGATTTGGTGTCCACAGCACTGCTGAAATATTGAAAAGAAGACCTGAGATTTGTGGGTTTCTGACCAGGTGGAGGCCCTGACGCACATGAACCGAGCCACAACGGTCCACGCCGTCAGGGACTCTGAGCTGGCCAAGCTGCCTGAGGGAGCTCTGAACTCCATCAAGAGGAGGTATCCTCAGGTGGTCACCAGACTGATCCATGTGCTGGGACAGAAGATCCTGGGCAACATGCAGCAGGTCAACGGGCCTCTGAGCGGTAATCTCTCAACCTCTAGAGCTGCACGCTGTTTTTAAATCTGGAATGCACAATGCTGGTGCCGTGTTCGGTGGAATATGTTTCTCAAACGTATTTGGCGCTGAAATATTTTCCCTTCAGGCTAAAATATCCAGGAAAAGGAATCATCTTCTCTTCCCTGCAGGTCGCGGTCTGGCCCTCCACACACCGACCAGTAAGTGGGATGCCGGGAATCCAGCCTCTAATCTGTCTACTGTGGCCATCCTGCCCGTGTCTGAGGAGGTTCCCCTCACCACCTTTACTCTGGAGCTGCAGCACGCTCTTAGTGGCATCGGTACGTCTGCACGCCCCCTTTAAACAGATGGCTTTAGATGCTACTAGTCTCAGGACAAACATTAATATATGGAATTTCAGGAAGTCCTGTTTACATGGCCGCTGGAAATAATTTTGATCAGGGGGGCTGTGAAAATTTTTGTTTTTGTTCTTTCTGAACAAATGACCTATGAGTCTATACGCCTATTGAAAATACAATTAAAAAAAATAATAAAATAGATTGAGATTCACTGCTTTGTTGTCATATACACGCAACCAGGGTCTGTAACACACAGACATCATCAGTTCTGAGTAGGGTTGTCAAAAGTATCGATACTCAAAAAGTATTGATACTGAAACGTTGTATCTGGATACAATACTCATTTTCAAAAGTATCGATACAGTGCCACCACCAGGGGCACCTAAACAGTCATTCATCTAAAGTGCAGAATAGAGGACAATGCACTTTCTGAACACTGTGTGATTGAATAATTCTGCGCACTTTTCAGTTTCAGACTTTTTTTTGTAAGAGGTGCAGCTGCTGAGAATTATTTTTGTTTCTTAACCGGTTTGGCTAACGTCATTGTTATTTGAGCAAAGCATAGCCAAGGAAAGAACACTTAATTTTAATTTTGTACGTTTTTTACCAAGCTTGCTTAACCCTTTAAAGCCCGATCCAAGAATAAAACAAAACAGAAATTTACTTTTTTTGGGGTTTGAAGTCCTTATTTGGCCTTTTAACAAAATATGTAAAAAGAAAAAAACAGAAATACATTTTTGATATTAATAATTTATTA